CTTGAGTTGACCTTGATGCTTACGTGATGGGGTCATACGGACACCGGCATCGTAATCAGCGACCCCAAAAACATAAAGGTCACCTACGCTTGGAACATGTCCACCTCAATTTCCCTTTGTGGTCCTGTGTAATTTAACAAATTTTTTATTTAAAATTAAAGATTAAAGAACCTTGTACCTCCCAGACAAACGTCTCCGCTTGGTACTCATTTTCAACTAGAAGGAACCGCGTTGCCTTACTTCTACGCTCCTGCTCGAGTCGGAGCATCTTACGCTTACCGCTTAATTACCATCCTATTGTTGCCGTTTCCGAGATTTCGCTAAACTCAGTTTCGCTAAACTCGGGTCGCAGTGTATATTTAAAACTCTTTAGATAAAATTTTCTTCGGTTTTTGAGGAAAATTCATGATTTTAAACGAAAATTATCAGTTTTTCCTTGAAAACGCTATGATAATCAACCCGAATCGTTCTCGCTATATTTTTTCTATAATCTACACGTAAAAATACGTAAAAAAATATAAATTTGGATCTCTTAGGATAAAATTTTCTTCTTTTTTTATTCGAAAAATCCATGATTTTTTCTAAAAATATGAGTTTTCCTTAAAAACAATATGAACATCAACTCCAATTGTGCTCGCTATATTTTTCCTGTAATCTACACGCAAAAATACGTAAGTATACCAAATATGAACTGCCTTCGTCAAATATTGTGTGCGCTAGGAGGATTAATCCCTTTTTTTCAAAATTTTTGATTTTTCCTTGACAACGGTATGTAAATTGATCCGAATCATGTTCGCTATATTTTTCCTGTAATTTTCACGTAAAAATACATAAGTGTACCAAATTTGAGCTCTCTATGTAAAAAGATGTGGCAACCAGGGGGGGGGTACATAGTCATTTTTAGGGATTTTTCGTAAAAATTCATGGTTTTTCCTTGACAACGATGTGATAATTAATTCCTATGAGATTCGCTATATTTTTCCTGTAATCTACACGCCAAAATACATATGTATACCAAATTTCAGCTCTCTAGATAAATTCGTGTGGCCGCTGGGGGGGGGTACATGACTTGCTTCACTAGTCTCATTAATAGGGTTCCCCCTTCGGGTACGGAACCCTAAAACGAACAAAATTTTGTTTAAAGGAATTTAAATTTATTTATTTTAACGTATTCTTACGTGTAGATTACAAAAAAAATATAGCGAGCATGATTGGAGTTGATTATCATAGCGTTGTCAAGGAAAAATCATGAATTTTTACGAAAAATACCTAAAAATGACTATGTACCCCCCCCTAGCAGCCACATCTTTTGACATAAAGAGCTCAAATTTGGTACACTTATGTATTTTTACGTGAAAATTGCAGGAAAAATATAGCGAACTTGATTCAAATCAATTTACCTAGCGTTGTCAAGGAAAAATCAAAAATTTCGAAGAAAATGATTTATTCTCCCTAGCGCATATAATATGCAACCCAAACTGTTCATATTTGCTGTAAAACAGTATTTTTGCGTGAAAAATACAGGGAAAAAATGTAAGCGTAATTGGAGTTGATGATCAATTTTTATCAAATTTTTGAAGAAAAATGATAAATTTAATAAAAAAATGTATTTTTCCGCAAAAAACGAAAAAAATCGGACAAGTGCGAGTTACACTCGCACTGAAATCGAGGGTTTCGTACTCGAAGCGAACTTATTTGGTATAAAAATAAATGTTTAAAAAATATGTGTTGCATGTTAAATAAATTATGTGATACAAAAAGGAATAATTTTTTAAAAAAATTTAAGAAATTTGTTCCTCCTTTGGTATAAAAACAAAAAAAAATTTAAATATATGTTGTATTTCAAATAATATAAGTGATACGAAGAGGAACAATTTTCTTAAATTTTACAAAATTGTTCCTTTTTGTATCACTTATATTATTTGAAATACAACACATATTTAAATTTTTTTTTGTTTTTATACCAAAGGGTTCCTATCACGTACCTGTAAATTTGATATTTTAAAAAAAAATAATTAATGAAGTATATTTTTTTTCTCTTTAAAGTGTACCTAATAAAGATATGTAAACATATTTTTCAGTACATTTAAACTTTTCTTGAAAAAAATTTCTAAAGTTAGGCCTTTTTTTGACGCTCTAGAGTGGTTTAACCCCTTAATGGGTATTAAAAATTTTTTCCAATTTTTAAAACAAAAAAGAAATTTAAATATAAATAATAAGAAATGAAATAATTTATACATTTATAAAAATTTGTTTCATATAAGTGAGATTATCATAAAAACAATTAATTTTGTAAACATAGAAATATTAAAAATTACTATTAAAGCTGCTTCCCTCAAGCTTGCAACTGTTGTGACGATGTGAGAGAAAAATAAATGACTCATTAGAGTAGCGAATTTTTGCCGCGTAATTCTTCCGAAAATTGTCGAACTTAAACGAAAAGAGAGAAGCCGATGAAAACGGCTGGGAGATTAGATAAGAATAAGATGTCGAGACGGTAAGACGTGTTGTCTTAAACTGAAATTATTCGTTTTGAACCTTTTAATTATAATAAAGTGGAGTGACTTTTCTAATTGGTTTGTGTCCATTTATTTATATTTTATATCCCTATTCCTGGTCCCAAAATCTGGCGACTGTGACAGGACATTTTTTGTGAGTTGGGAAGGCAGTGATAGAGGATTTTGTGGTCAAGTGAATTTATCACCACGTGGTCAAAATGGACGCCATCAAGAGAGAAAGAAAAGCCTTGCGTGCCGCATTCTCGAGAGCATACACAGCTTTTATAGCAAAAGCAGATAACAATTGCTCAAAAGAAGAAAAGCTGGTGGCCTTTCAATTTTTGGAGTCGAAAATGACGGAATTGGATGCAGTACATGACCGGTTCAGTAAAGAATTGTTTAAATCTACGGCGACTCAGGAAGAAGTTAATTTGGAGCTGGAAGGAAATGATTCCTACAAAACTAAGTTTTTGACATCAAAAGTCAAAATGTTTGATCTTTCAGTTCCAGCCGTGATTCAACCAGCTTTTATCCATTCATCAGCCAGCGTCAGAGATGTGATGAAATTACCGAGCATCGAGCTTCCAAAATTCAAGGGGAATGTGCGTGAGTGGCTGCTATTTTGGAGCCAGTTTCGAAAAATCCATGACGATCCGACTGTGAGAAAGGAGGATAAGTTTCAATACTTGATACAGGCAACCGTCCCTGATTCTCGTGCTAATGAACTAGTGAATAGTTTTCCACCAATCGCAGAAAATTACGATAAAGTTATCACTTGTCTGAAGAGTCGTTTCAGACGAGATGATTTAGTGGTGGAATTTTATGTGCGCGAGCTGTTAGGACTTGTTCTCCAGAATGCTGTAAAAAATAATAAGAAGACATCAGTGGCTGCTCTGTACGATAAAGTTGAGTCGTATATTCGAGCACTGGGTACGTTGGGCGTGACGACGGACAAGTGCGCGGCAATGCTCTACCCTCTAGTAGAGTCGTCTGTCCCAGAAGAAATCTTACGTGCGTGGCAGCGAAGTGGAGTTCGAGAGATAACTGACATCAATGGACAACAAGAACCGAAAGATCGTCTCACCAAACTCCTGAATTTCCTGCAGATGGAAGTAGCAAACGAAGAACGAATTGACATGGCATTGACCGGATACGGCCTATCAGCGGAACAGGACAAAGGTAAACGGAGTAAAGGTAAGAACGATTTTAAAGATGTCGCTACTACTAGCGTACTTTTCGCATCTAAAGATGATAAAGTTTCAATTTGTATTTTTTGTAAATCAAATCACGAGAGTCGCGATTGTGAAAAAGCGCGGAAACTTGATTCAGCAGAGCGTTCTGCAGTCGTTAAAAAAGAAAGATGCTGTTTTAAATGTCTAAAGCGCGGGCATATTTCTAAATTGTGTAGAGTCCGATTAAAATGTGATTGGTGTGCGGGTAAACATGTATTATTAATGTGTCCGTGTGTTGGCCAAGGCAACGATACGGTTCCAAGTATTAATCATGATGTTTGGGTTGCGGAATTGTATACAAAAAGTATCGTCTTGTCGGATGTTAATTCGAGCGATAGAGGTTGTATAGATATTCTCGTCGGTGCAGATATAGCGGGGAAATTGCTTACGGGAAAAAGATACGAATTAGAGAATGGGTTAGTAGCTATCGAAACTTTGTTAGGTTGGACCGTAATGGGTAAATTGCCTAATGTAACGAAAGAGATGGATGCCGCGATGCTTATTAATGTCATGTTTGTTAAAGAGGCGGATCCATGCGATTTGTGGCGTTTAGATGTTATAGGGATCAAAGATCCAATTGAAAAAGTAAACAAAAGTATAAAAGATGAACAAACGTTAAAATTTGTAATAGATAATGCAAAATTGACCGAGGAAGATAGATACGAAATTTCTTTGCCGTGGGTAGAAGAGCATGCACCTATCCCAGATAATTATGATATTGCATATAAAAGATTAGTAAAAACAATTGAAAAATTAAAAACTAAAAATCTCTATAGTGATTATGACGCTGTTTTCAAAGAATGGATAAATGAAGGAATCATTGAGGAAGTAATAGATGAAAAACGCAAAAAGAGGTTCACTATTTACCGCATCGTCCGGTGGTCAAATTGCAGGGTACGACTAAGATTCGACCAGTGTTTGACTTTGAACTGTGTTTTTAATCGAACTCGTGCCAAACTCGTTGAATCGGTTTAGAGAAAGGGCCATTGGGGTAATAGCAGACATACGAAAAGCTTTTTTGCAAATAAGTATTAATGAAGCAGATAGAGATTATCTTAGATTTCTTTGGATCCGAGAAAACAAGACTTTAGTATTTCGTCATTGCAGATTAGTATTTGGGCTGTCATGTAGTCCGTTCGTTTTGGCCGCTATAATAAAATTGCTTTTGAGTTCGGTTCAGAAAAAAGCAATAAATTCGCAACTTCACTGGACCGAGAAAACAGTGAAAAAATTGTATTTTGTCGTCTGTAAAAAACAAAAGGCTAGACATATGGAGTGTGAGACGCCGCCGTTACCGTTAAACCGCGTTCGCGACGCTGCAGTATTTGAGGTGGTAGGAGTAGATTTTGCGGGATCTCTATTCTTGCAGGGTGGGGATAAATGTTGGATATGCATATTTACGTGTGCAATCTACAGAGCCGTATACCTCGAATTGGCAAGCGCATTGTCGGTGGCGGGTTTTTTGGAAAGTTTGCGCAGAATGATACCGAGACGTGGTAGACCACGAACGATCTATAGCGACAATGGTACTAATTTTACAGGTACGTCAAACGCTTTTAACGAGTTAGATTGGGAAAAAATTATAAAGTATAGCAACACACAACAAATAGAGTGGGTATTTAATCCGCCTTCCGCTCCATGGTGGGGAGGATTGTGGGAGAGGCTTATCGGCACAACGAAAACGATTTTAAGGAAGGTGTTAGGCCGAGCTAGTCTGTCCTATGAAAGTTTGACCACTGTACTTTGCGATACAGAGGCGGTGATTAATTCACGCCCTTTAACGTATGTACCTGAAGACCCACATGATTTGAAAGCGTTAAGTCTATCAATGTTTCTACTAGATATCCAGGAAATAGGCGTACCTGATTGTGATGTTTTGTATAATGATAAACTAAATAAAAAACTAAATTATAATCAAAAATTGATGAGAGATTTGCGAGAGAGATTTCGTATCGAATATCTTGGGCAATTAGTTTTAAAAAAGGAAAAAAAAGAAGTTCGAAAAGTAAATATCGGTGATGTGGTGTTGATCGGTGATGATAATCACAAACGTATGGATTGGCCTTTGGCACGAATAGTAAATGTAATTCCGGGAAGGGATGGAAAAGTGAGAGTATTTATTTTAAGAACAAAGAATGGACTTCTTAAAAGACCTATTCAGCGAATCTATCCTCTCGAAATTTGTAAAAAGATGTAGAATTCACGGAAAATTATAGCGAAAAATTAAAGGAAAAAGAAATTATAAAACAGAAAAAATCGAAGACGGAAAACGACAATGCAGAAATAAAATGTAAACCCGCGACTACGCAATTGAAGATTGTAACCACAAGAAGTGGACGACGAAGTAAAGCCCCTGAATATTTTCAAAGTTAAAAACAAAAGGGCACTCGTGATTTTGGATTGAATTAATTTTTATTTGAAAGTTTTGAGTTTTAATTGTATAGATTTGATTTGTCTTGGAATGTAGTATGTAGATTCATTTTTATTTGAAAGTTTTGAACTTGAATTGTTTAAATTTGATTGTCTTTGAATTTATTATGTTGATTGTTTTATTGGAAGTTTTTAATTGAGTCGAAATATTGAAAGGTGAAATGTTCAAATAAAAATGAGGGGAGAATGTTGTGACGATGTGAGAGAGAAATAAATGACTCATTAGAGTAGCGAATTTTTGCCGCGTAATTCTTCCGAAAATTGTCAAACTTAAACGAAAAGAGAGAAGCCGATGAAAACGGCTGAGAGATTAGATAATTCTAATTGGTTTGTGTCCATTTATTTATATTTTTTATCCCTATTCCTGGTCCCAAAAGCAACACTGTCTTGTTATAAAAATTGACAGTTTTATTTTTGAGAGGAGCTCTACGTATATAGGTAAAGATAAAACAAACAAGTTTAATCTGACAAATTTCAATAATAAATAACTCAAAAAATGCAAAATTTGGTAACACTATATTTTTATATTACTGTATTATAGATATATCTTATATATTATTTTTATAGGCTTGAATTTTTTATTGTAGGGGAATAGTGTCAGGGTTGGACACAGTTTTGGTTTTTTGTTTATAAATATTTTGTTTAGATAAATTCAGTCAATTGTGGTATATGGGTGGAAAGATCTACAAAAGAGGAACACTTTTGCTGTGGACCGTAAATTGATTGGTCCAAAATTAAAAAAGTTATAAACATTAAAAAAAAAAAAATCTAGTCAGGGTTGGACTTTTCAGTCAGGGTTGGACACTTTTTGAAAATCGAAACGCATTATTGGTAAAAACGTAAAATAACATTTGTAATGTTTTTTATTCTTATTTTTTCATGTTTATCTTTACTTATTGTTTACAAATTGTAAAGCTTCATGGGTTTAAAAAAGGAATGAACTCAAATTATAAAAAATAACGCTTTATTGTTCCAAATAACTCAATGAAATGATGAACAAAATTTATACAATTTAAGTATTATTTTTCTAATATCTTTGGCACAATTTTGCACTGAAATATCAATAAAATTTATTTATAAATTGTGTCAAATTCATAATTAATATGGGTGTCCAACCCTAACTGTATAAAGTGTCCAACCCTAACTAGAAGCATCATTTTCGAATTGTGCTAACCATAACTAGACATGTGTCGCGATTCGATTTTTCACTTTTTTTCTTCTTAAATTATGTACCCCACAATACATTCAATAAGCTTATCTTGCCGAATTCTTGCTTTTTTTACACATTTTTTAGGTTTATTCACAAGTCAAACAAAACTTTTTTTGTCTCTTCGATTGCACCGAAGTCACAAGAGACGCTACTTTTGATTCTCCAAAAATGTAATGCCACAAAAAGTTAGGTTATACTACTAGAAGATTCGTCACATACGCACACAGGTGGCGCTAGTGTTCTTATTTAAAAAAAGCCAAGTGTCCAACCCTGACAAGTGTCCAACCCTGACACTATTCCCCTACTAAAGAATGTGAAACAGTAAATAAATTACATTTTCATGATGCTGAAAATCATCGATATTTAATAACTATTGCACTAATATTCCTCTTAATATCATATGTATATTATAATTATAAGTTACTTTTAATCCATACCTCTATTAATTATATTTATCAAAAAATCTCAAATCAAATTTCACCATTATAAAATAATTTTTATAGAATATATATGTATGTAATTTATGATTATCACAAAACGCGTCACCTCTAATTTTTGCACAAGGTAAGAATTTCTTGTTTTTTATAGCTTTTAATTCCATAACAGTTGCTAAATTATAATTTAAAAAATTTGTTCAAAACTCTTACATTGATTTTATGCTTTCTTTAGAGTATTTTCTGTATGTATGACATCTGAAATGTTTTTCCGCTATTTAAAAATAGTTATCCATCACGGCAACTTACTTAATTTTATAAGAAATAATTTTTCATATTTATTTTTTAAATTTATATTTATTGAGTTTTTTAAATGTTCTTTATTAAGCTTCAACTTACTTACTTAAAGTAGTAATTTCATTCAGATGTTAAAAGAATTTGGTAAAAGTTATCGAAACAATTTTTGTAATTATTAAATAAAGTTTACATACAATTTAAAATGTAATATTTTTTCCATATAATAAATTACACAAAAAATAACTAATACTGGTACTTTTTTATAATACTTATACGTTACGTTCACCACAATCTAAATAATAAGTAACTGTAATGTCGTTAAAAGTAACGCCTTATTTTTGTAAACACTTCAAAACTGCATATATTAAACATCTTAAAAATGTCTATTTTTAAAGACATGAACTTATATTTTGAATGTATTTAATTTATTCGAAATTAAAAAAAATATTCACTTTCCCGAATTTTATATATATATATATATATATATATATAAAAAAATTAGAATTTTATATATGAGGCAAAATTCCTGAAATGTCCGAACAAAAAATTAAAAGTTCTCGAATTTATTCCATACTTTTCTAAAATGTTGTTATTGTTGGTGAAAGTCTAAAAATCAATTATTATTGAATTTAATAAAATAGTTTTTGAATTACAACGTTTTTAATTTTTGACTTAAGAAAAAAAAAATTTTTTACAATGTACAATATTTATAAGTAGAATGCATAAAAGTAGATTGTTAATAAACAATTGCAATGTTAACTAATTGTTTATTAACAATCTACTTATCCAAAATACTTCATACAGGGCTCGTTGAATGCGGAATTATGTTAAGTTTTAATTGCTAACTTCAGAATTACGGTAACTTTATTCGTTTGTAAAATATTTCATTTGTTATAAACATTAATTAATTAATTAATTAATTAATATCTCAAAAACTTTAAAAGATCCCACTCTGAAAATTACATGTTTTGTAGGAAATTAGTCAAGCTTTCCATTGAGATAGTTAAAAATAATTTTAAAAAATCCGATTTTGAGATAAACGTAAATTAACATTTTGACCTTGAATTTCAAGGTCAAATGTTATTTAAAAAAAAAATTTTATTAACAGCGTGTAGCCCGTCAAAAAAGCTTTAAAAATCATTATATATATGTTAACTTTTATGCATTCTACTTATAAATATTGTACATTGTAAAAAATTTTTTTTTCTTAAGTCAAAAATTAAAAACGTTGTAATTCAAAAACTATTTTATTAAATTCAATAATAATTGATTTTTAGACTTTCACCAACAATAACAACATTTTAGAAAAGTATGGAGTAAATTCGAGAACTTTTAATTTTTTGTTCGGACATTTCAGGAATTTTGCCTCATATACATATAAATTGGACTGTTTTTTTAGTCGTATTTAGGATCGTATTTCCGGTCGTATTTACGATCGTAAATGCTGTTTCAAATACACGGTAGTAATTACGGTCGTATTTACAGTAGTATTTAGGGTCGTATTTAGGACCGTACTTACAGTCATTTTTTTTCAATAGGGTATATTCAAGACAAGCTCATTACGCTCGCAGTATTCGGCCAAAGCTGCAGCATTTTAGCCAACTCAGAAAAAGAATCATCGAGAAGTACGTAGTCATCCGCATTTGCAAGCATGAGTATCTCTGTTGACTTGCTGACAAAGATCTCCCTGCAACCATACTTTATAAAAAATTCTTCCATATTAGAAATGAAAAGAAGAAACTCGAACGGACTAAGCACCTTGCGTGTAACCCCCTCTTTAGTTCTTATACAAGTTTTCGTTTTAGAGTAAAAGTCACACATAATATTAATAAACTTAGAACTAACGCCTAACGAAAACAATTTGTTCTACAATAAAGAGTGGGAGACAGGTGGAAAGGCCCCCTTAAAATCAATAAAAGCTGCGTATAAAGGAGAACCCTTATTACTTAAATGAATTTGAATAACGGAAGGAAGACTAAAAACATTATCTAGACAACTTCTGCCCTTTGTGAACCCTGATTGAGATTCTGGGATAAGATTTCGTTTTTCAGCCCAAGCAACCAGTCGATTACATAAAATTTGTGTAAAGATCTTCGCAACACAGTTAATCAAAGTTATAGGTCTGTAATTGAGGGGACGCATTCCATAAGGGGTTATAAATGTACAAGTTGTCGCAGAGTTGGCCCCTGAAATAAATGCAATGTAGAGATCGCAAATGTCAACCAATTTAAATAATTTTTTTAAAATTAAAGATAAAGTAATCGACTACATATTAAATATCTTAATTTTGTCAAAAAAATTTTGTTCTGTAAATATTTAATTAACAAAATAAAAAAAAATTTCATGAACTTTTAGAGAGTGATATTTTTCATGAACAGATAAAATTTCATTTTAAAAGTTCATAAATCACTTAAGCAACAATTCAAATGAACTTATTTGTAATGTCGCATTAAAAGAACATTATTATATTTGTTATAAACAAATAAGTAAATAAATTTTTTAAAGTCGATGAATCGAGCTAAAATTAATTACTTGGGGGTTTTCGAGGTCATTGATTACGAAGATAACATTAATTTTTAAAATTTTAAATGGCGGACTATTTTTTTAAATTGGCTTAAATTCGCCTGAAACTTGTTATTCGGGGTCGCTGAATACGAATATGATAATAGTTTTTTAAAATTCAATATGGCGGGTCTAAAATGGCGACCAAAATTTTATTAAATTAGTCGGATTCGCATCAAACTTGTTACTTTGGGGTTTTCAGGGTCGCTCATTAAGAATATTAGTTTTTAAAAATTTTAAATGGCAGGTTCAAAATCCTGTTTT